CACTAGTCTTTGAGGTTTTTGCCGGTTTTTGCCTATTTCAGAGTGGCTTCAATATACAATACAGCTCATTTGAAAGATTAAACCGTCTTAGAGTTATGGGTCCAGCCAGTGACTTATCTCCGCGGGAGCTCAAAAGATATATTTTGATGTGACTACCCCTTATAGGAGCATACCGGGGTCCTGGTTGATGGGGCTCTCAAAGTTATCCAGAAGTGTCACGAAGTGTCACTCCAGAAGTTTCTTGAGCATGTTCAAGAAACTTCTGGATGTCACTTCTTGACACTTCTGGACGCCACTTCTCGAATCTTGAATACCATTAATGTGCTTGAAGGAGGTCTAGATATCATCACAAAGGAAAAATCTGATACAGTCAACTCACCATAAAGGCACACCTCTTTAGAGGCATAATGCCTCTAAATAATGCCTCTAAATGGATTTTGTGGTGTTTATTGCCGGCAAATTTGGATTTTCAGCGAAAATTTGAATTGTCAAGGCATGAAAACTGTACCATTGAGCAGGTCAAGTATTGAACCTGCTTCTGATCAAGTTGTACACATCTGACGGTTGAGAATTGTTAAAATCAAGAAGTCAAGGTATAAAGTGAAGAATATCAAAAGACAAGAATCATCTCTTGAAAAAGAAATCATACAAGATAAATCCATACTAAAGAAATGGAGATCGATTCAAATCACAGACGACCAAGACCAATTTGCTTCAAACTTCGATCATCCTCAACTTTCATTCTAATAGTGGTCGGATTTAGGTAAGTATTCGTATTCGTACATTCATCAAAGACCAAGTTAACGAAGACTGACTGATCGAATACATATCATCCAATTCCAGTCTCTTCACAGGTAATAGTTTCACCTCGTTATATCAACTCACCTCACATTACTCAATCGTTAACCATCACTCTTCTCTCCCCAGATCTCTTTCTCTATGGACTCGTCATTCCAGTCTTACCTTTCGCACTCAATCAACTGGTCGGAATCCCAGATCAAGATATTCAACCTGTCATATCTGCTCTCTTAGCAGCTCATGCATTAGCAGCGGTTCTTTTTTCTCCAATCGCTGGCTTGATCGCTGATGCTGGTAAGGGTCGCTTACCCTTCCTATTTGGATTGGTAGCCATGGCTGCTGTGCGTTATCTTTTTTGATCTTGGCTTTTGATTTGATCTTTGACACTTTCCTTTGGTCGTACCTAGTCTACTGCTTTACTCTGTTTTGGAAGAACAATCCCGCTTCTATTGTTGGCTAGAGTTCTTCAAGGACTCAGTGCTGGTAAGCTTTAAAGAATATCAGGGTTCAACTTTAAATCCAGATTTCATTCCACAAACTTTAGTATTGATTCTTGTGCTTCTCTATCAATAGCTATCGTTTGGACTGTAGGATTGGCATTAGTAGTCGATACAGTTGGATCCGATAAACTTGGATCTGCCTTGGTGAGAATCAGAGAGGAAATAAACATCTGCTCGTGATATGATGCAGATAATCTGATGCTGAGATCGCATTTGCACTTAGGGCTCGATCTATGGTGTCATCTCTGTGGGAAGTTTAGCATCTCCGACTCTAGGAGGGATCGTTTATTCTCGATTTGGATACTATGCTGTCTACGAACTAGCTGGAGCCATCTTATTGATCGATATCATCCTTCGTTTACTCGTCATTGAACGTAGTGTAGCTGAGACCTATCAACCATCAAACCCAGAAGAAGCAGTCACAGAGCAAACGAGCTTATTACCAAGATCACCCGATCGATCCAACCCACCACCTTCTACTAATCCCATCATTCGATCTTTTCCACTTCTCAAAATCCTTCTTCATCCACGATTACTATCTGCATTATTTGTCACATTTACCCAAGCAAGCTTATTAGCAACCTTTGATGCAACAGTTCCAATTCATGTTAAAGAAATCTTCGGAATGGATTCATTACAATCAGGTTTACTGTTCATTGCTATCCAATTACCTTACCTAATCACAGGTCCAATCTTTGGAAAATGGGTAGACCATAGTGGTGCAAGACCTGCCATAATCTTTGGTTCGATAATTCTAATTCCTACTTTAATCTTCTTAAGATTACCACATCAATCAAAAGAAGAATGGTGGATTCAAGTGATTGGATATACCAGCCTTTTAACTTTTTCAGGAATCGGTCTTTCTGCTATCGGTGGTCCTTCACTTGTAGATGCAAGTCAAACGGTTTGCGACTTACATAAATCGTTTCCTGATTTGTTTGGTCATAAAGGTCCATATGGTCAACTGTATGCTGTCAATAATGTGGTATTTAGTTTAGGTATGACAATTGGACCTTTACTTTCAGGTGGATTAGCCGATCAAATCAATTATGGTAATTCAATGGCAGTGATGTCTTTACTTTGTTTAGCTTCATTTCTGGTGGCTTGGTTTGGTATGAAAGATAAAGATTTGATGGGTACAAGGAAAAGTAATGTTGTAACGACTAGATGATGATTTTTTTTGTTTCTTTTTCGTTTTCTTTTATTGTGGACTGTATTCTATGCGGATTGGTTTTTTTTTGCTTATAAGTCGTAGTGTATATTGGTTCTAGATTGTAATAGTATCAAACTTTGCTGAGCTGACCTTAATATCAGCTACCTTTAGATCACAAAAAATTGATAAGGAGATTGCATAATGGGAATCCATTGCACTTGGTGCGTACATCACCACTGACACGGTAATCAGACCTTGCTGCCTTGAGAGATTTTCAAGAGGGATTAACGCTATAAACCACGTCATCCATATCTGCTATGATAGCTGTTTACCTTTCCTGAGATGATCAAAGTGATTATACAGGATTATACTTCAGGATGACAATTCCCTTGTAGATTTGGGAATCTCTTGCGCCTTCATCAGGTTCTCCTCCAATCAACGCTTCACTCTTCTACATCTCTACAATTGCATTCCCCATATTGGGTTTTCAGAGTGAGATCATATCAAAGTTAGTAAAAACTCAAGTGCAATTGATCCTTGTCTTGCTGTGAAGACAGGTCAAGGGTGGTTTGCTTGGTGTGTGCATATATGCATAGTCGAGAGCAGCTGTGACAAGTGAGAGGAAACATAGCTTATGCTGCTTGAATGGACAATGCAGCATAGTTGGGTCTTGAAATCTTTGATACGAAGAAAGACCCTTCAAGTTCAAAAACCCATTTCAAACTATCTTTCTCTTGGATTGTAACCACTGAAGTTTGATCAAGTTTTCCTCTCAACTAAATGACGCATACATACACCCCAATTTCAGATGATGAAAAGCAGTCAAAAGCTAAAGGAAAGGCAAGAACTCATTCACACCTGATTCAATTTATATTTTCCGATTTTCTTGGTTACAACGCGTTTCTGTCACTTCGAAAATTACATGAAGATAAAATTATAACAAGCTCTAGTGTTTCTGATTGATACTACAAGTGACGAATCCAAGAGAAGACAAGTAAAAGAAGGTCAAGAAACTAAGAAAGGAACAAAAGGATCTGATAGGAATAAAATTGAAGAGGAAAAACAAGCATAGAGAAGATGAGAGAAAACAAGAGAGAAAATACAAAGGAAAATAGATGGGGCCAATTTCATTTCTTTGATTTCTTTGATGGACCTGGACCCAGATCAAGGTGAAGATTCGGATGGTTTGATTCTAAAAGAGAAGGATACGAATCCAAAGATCTGGATCGTTTGAGACCCCGTGGAGGATCAGATAAAAGTACCGTCGGTCGCGCATTCGGATCACAGCATCCAATTATTGTTTCCCATTCAGTATATCCTTCAAATCTATCCTTATCGTCTTGATCATGTGCATTTGAATGAGATTGGTTTAGTATCTCAGTTGAATAAAGAGAACCTTGGTGATGAAAATTTGATGAACTTGGTTCATTATGGAATTGAAGATAACCCTCGTTGTTTGAAGATATGCCATTGAACAGGGGCCCTGGATTAGGATTGTAGACGGGCGAATTGTTGTACCCGATGTACTGGTCCCTTGGGATAGGGTTATAGACGGGCGAATTGTTGTATCCGATGTACTGGTCCCTTGGGATAGGGTTATAGACGGGAGAATCTCTTGAGTGTGAACCATTGCACATCTCACTTGCATTAGGAGCATAAACAGGCGAATCGTAGAATAATCCATGGTGTATTGCGTTTGCATACGGATTATATAGAGGTGAGTTGTTTGAATGCAATCCATGGTACATGTCACTTGCATTGAAATTAACAAGTGAATTCAAATCCCATGCTTCGACGGATAGCAGCTGTGAGTTCATTGCTGGCAGTGGTAATACGCCAGGTGTCGTGTCCGTGATAGATTGTAAACTGAAACCCGCGGCGAGAATAGGGTTAGACGGCATCAAGGATCGAGGAATTGGTTGAAACTCTTCGTTTGAATACGATGGGCGCCGAGAATGCGTTGATGACAATGTGATTTCAAACCAAGGCTCCAATAGTTGTGCGAAGGACGTTTGTTTAGGCGATACATGTGGCGATGATGTACGTTTCTTACTTTCAACCTCTTGGCGACAAACACTTGCTTGTCCTTCGATTGCTATTGAAGAAATAAAAATCAGATCCTTGTCAGCTTCACGCCTCTTGGATATTGTTTCTTATTCGGAAGAGGTTACTGACAGGAGGGGGGTTGGACGGCAGCAGTCAATGACGATGATGAAGCCATTATGAATGATGTTTTATTTTAAACTTGGAGTGGATTTCAAGTTGATGATTATATGGAAGGTGATGAGGATAATATAATTGATGATATTGATGATAGGATATCGAAGAGAATGTTTGTTGGAAAGAATTTCAAGGAACCATTTTTTATTGAATCCTCGTCAAGATAATTGCCATTCAGGTACAACGAATCAAAGAATCTTTACAGTGATCATCATAAAAAACCTGACTTAGGCCTGTTCCTGCCTTGCCGCGCAGTGCCAGTTTGATCGGTCACTTATTTTGCATTGCATGTCTCAAAATGAATTAAGAACGAAAAGTAATGCTGTGACACTGGTGTTTTTTTCTTTGTTTGATTGTATGTGGATCAGCTCGTTCAAGAGGACTTGTGTGTAAATGAGTTTAAAGTGCAATACTATTTGTTGAGGTTATCTCAACATCCCGATGTAACACATAGAAAATCGGTGAGGATATTTGATGAAGGAAATCAACCCTATATGGCCCGTGGTCCTTTCATTGCTTTCCTTTTGCCTCACACATGTTGGGACCTCCTCACTATGATATCAGATGACTTCTTGATTTGATGGATCTCACTTCTGTTACCTCTTTTGGGACATCTTATTAGAAAGGGTTTAGAGATTAAATTCTCCGCTTTGACTGACTGACTTGTATATAGGCAGCTTCATTACAATCAACACATTGTTTTTGGAACCTTGAAAAAGCAGCCAAGTTTGATAAGTGTGAAACTTTTTTTGCTTCGAAGGCAAGGTGGTATTGACGATTTGTGTTATGCATCAGCGAAACCAAAAACAATGGTGATGGTAAAAAACACTGATCACAATATTCCAATTCAAATCATTTCCTTTTATGTTTAACTGATATATAATCTGATACATAGTTCTTCTATTACTTCAAGAATTATAAAAAAGATGAAATTATAAGAAGTTCCACATTTCCACAAATTCCATATGCAAGAGAATTAAACAAGTGAAAAGAGGTTAGAAAACTGATAAAAAAATAAAAACGAGTTGGTAAGGAGAAAATCGAAGAGACAAAGCGAAAATGAAAGAGATGCAAGAAAAAAGATGATGAGAAAAAAAAAGAAAACAAGTCGATGCGATTAATTTGATTTCTTTAATTTCTTAGATGGACGTGTATCAAGATCGGAATTGTGATTCGGCTGACTTGATTCGAGAAGACAAAGAGGTGGATATGAATCAAAAGATCGAGACCGTTTAAGACCTTGAAGTGGTGGAAGATCAGACAACGGTAATACCAATAGTGGAATTGGATCACAGGGAGGGAGAATAGTTTCCCATTCAGTGTCGCCTACAAATAGCGCCTGATCATCTTGATTGTTGAGACCGAGATCAGATTGGTTGAATTGTTGATGGTTGGTCGTTGGCTGACTTGAAGTTGAATGGAGGGAACTTTGTGAAAATTGATTTGATGAATTTGTTTCGTTCTCGAATTGAAAATAACCACCGTTCCTCCAAGATAGCCAATCGAAAATTTCACTTCCATTGGGATTATAAACAGGTGAATTATTTGGAAAGTGTACATTATACGAGGTACTTGCATTTGGATTGTAGACAGGTGAATTTCTCGCAAATAACCCATTGAAAATTTCACTTGCATTGGGATTGTATACGGGTGAATTGTTGGACAATGAAACATTATACGTTGCACTTGCGTTAGGATTATATACGGGTGAGTTGTTTGCAAATAATCCATTGATGCGTTCATTTACATAGGGATTATAGTCAGGCGAAATCAAATTGAAGAGTTCGAAGGATGGCGTCGTGTTGGCTGCTGGGAATAAACCAGACGTTGTATTGGTGATAGATTGTAAACTATGACCAGCAGCACGAATTGAGTCGGATGGCATCACGGATCGAGGAATAGGTTCAAATTGTTCGACAGAAGATGATGGGTCTTGATGCTGGGTTGGTGTGATTTCGAACCAAGGTTCCAAGAGTTGTTGAAATGATGTTTGTGACGGTGAGATTTGTGGCGACGAGGGTGTGTTTTCATATTCAATTTCTTGATGGGAAGCATTTGGTTGTCGTTTGATTGCTATCAAACACGTCAAAATTATACCATTATCAGTTTCACACTTCTCGAATGATATGAGATGTTATTAAAAGGGTATACTAACAGGAGGACGGTTGAGCGGTAGCAATTAATGATGACGAGGAAGCCATTGCGATGATAGTTTTGATGGATTTTGGATGATAGTAAGTTGAGAATTGTATGGTGTATGGATTGTGATGGTGACGATATAATTGATGATGATGCGGAATCGGAAGAAAGGTCTTCGTGCAGACATTTTATAACATCTTCATCAAGATCATTTCCAATCAGGTACAACTAACAGTCTAACGGTTAACCAGAAGAATGTCAGTGAAGTGTGATTTGATTTCTAATTTTATGGCGATCATGATGAAAATCTGACTTGGTCCTGACTCCTTCCTGCGTTCCTGCGCACTGCCATTTACACCAGCCATTGATTTTGCATGACAGTTCTGAAAATAAAACTATGAAATGGATTATTGATCACGACATTGAATTTTGAACAACGAAACGGACTCAAAATTATCATACTGATTCTCAAGTTCTAAAAATCTCTCAGCCTTTTCCCGTTCAGCGTTGAAAAACTTTCATCCTAAACCTTCCTAAGCGGCGAACAGCGGCAAACGCAGCATAAGATATCAGGTGAGATATCATATGACATACATCGAAAAATTTGGATCGGGGATTTTGCTTAAGATTAATCGGGACACCAAAGTCCTATTTATCTCAGCCTATCTCGGCAAGAGAGCGAGCCTCGAGGCAGTGAGGCACCTTGTTAAGGTTGCTCTTTTTCGGAGAAAAAAAGATCGAGGTTTCTCGAGTCCTCAGTGCTTCTTTCTTTACTTTTAATTTCATAGCCAAACCTCATTCAAATGTGTAAATTCAACTTCGTCGAGCTTGACAACAATTTGGCGCCAATTTGCTAGAGTTGGGTGGGTAACTTTTTTATATATATATACTTCCAAAGTATGAAGGGATCCTTCCGATGAGCATGTCACTTAACCGTCCTCCTATTCAAAGATGTGATACATACATGTAAAAAAGTGGACAGTATGTAGAAGGAATGCGTTGAGTGATGACATGCAGTGCATGCCAGGATGATATGTACTCTGGACTGCACCAATGATTAACAGATGGAACAGAGACACCCGTGCCCGTGCTGTGAGATTCACAGCCATTAATGGCTGTGAATTACGTTTGAGAAGACGTGCACTTCATTCTTCATCAGAAAATCTTTGACAATTGGTTGATTTATAGGGACATCGCCATTCATTTATCCGCCATCATCATCATTTCTACACCTCAAACCTTGACATCCATTGGAAAATTGCTCTTCAGTGATCAAACACACTGTCTTGATTATGTACCTGGGAATGTGTACTTTGTAAAACTGAAATCCATCAAAACCTTCGACTCCCAAGGCTTTTCAGTGGCTTATCTTTCACAGTCAAAACTGTCTTGGATGTTAATATCAGAATTGATTGAACCAATAATTGTGGTCCATGCAGTTCAAAAGCAAGTCAAAGTGAATTTTGAGATTGCCAGTAGTAACACAAGGAGACAAAGACCTATCACCATGTCTGTGATCAAATATGGCACAATCTCATTCTTTTCTTCTTTGGCAACTCCAACTTCATACAAAATAGTGCTCATGGTTCTTGATTTGGTTCATTTGTATTACTTTTTACCAAAGCATGTAATCTTATACTTCAAAGGCTGCTATGTGATCTATTATCACTGTTGAACTTGCAAGACAAGATTTTAAGAGCCTAATCAAGAAAGTGGTCTTCCACCCACTTGGTTTTACAAACCCTCTTGGGTGCATTCCTATCATCAACACACCAACAAGTGGGAAATACTCAACAAGAACATAAGAAAGATGAATCTCAGCTGAAGTTTAATGGACAGATTGCTGATCTGATTACTGATATGCCCACCAATTGTACGGACAATCTTCAACTCAAGTGTGGACAACTTAGGGCCAATCTGGCTACAAACCTGGTGGATCAAGGTTGCAACTTTGAATAGGCTTGCAAAAAAGCTTGATCTATCCATACAGATTGGCACCAAACAACACAAGAGACTAGTCAAGATCTGGATGATGAAAACTCAACTGATAATCCAGATGAGTCATCACATAAAGATTGGTTGACTTATTATATAATTTAACAGAAATATTTCATTTTTTTTAAATTTATCTTTTACTGTTTTGAGATTAATTTCCTTCTGATGAGATTTCGCAAATTAATCAGATACTGTGTAGCTATCTCATAGTGTTGTCATTTTTTATTGTTTTATTTCAATTTTATCTTGTTTCATTTCTTCTTTTCTGCTGATCATGTTATCATTGACTTGTATGAATTAGATATGATTTTTCTCCTTAAAATATTGAGTGAGTTGCAATAAAATACAACAAAATCAGGCAGCAAAGATATCAATGAAAAAGGCCATGAACAAATTGCAAGTTTTGGAAGTACTTTAGACAATTCAAAAACATTATGCACTGAAGTGAGATTGACTTTTTGGAGAAGTGCTAATATAAAGAGTGGAGATAAATTCATGAAACAGTTGTCCTATCCTTTGTTGTGTTAAATGTAAGTTTCCCATTGATTCAGAGTGCTCTTCTTCATCACTTGTTGGAGATTCTCAATGTACATCCCAATCTTCTTCTTCTAGTCAAAATGTACAGTTTTCACCTCTCCTATGCATAAACTTGTGAATAGAATAGCAGGTCAAAATCCAGGCAAATAATTGGCTGGCGGATTTCTATCTTTGATGACAAGGAGAGACTCCTTGCAAGACTGAGTTTGAGTCTGACCCTTCAACATTCCATTGATATGTTCAGAGACAATTGGTTCCACCGTTGAAAAATTATTGAACTTCCCATGTGCCTGGTCCGGCCCTTGATTACTTAGACCTTTGAAGGCAGGAACTATTTGCTTTGAAGCACTATAGCCCAAGTTGGCAATGAGGTACTCCCCTTTGCCAAAGAAATGTTCTGTATCTACAAAAAACTGGGAGACATCTGGATCAGCAACTTTTAAAAGAAACTTATTTGAAATGAATTACCTCAGTTAATTTCAGGACATTTTGATCATGTAATGATCCACACCATCCATGATGAGTGTTATAAATAATACACTTCCAATGACCACATATAATCAGGGAATTCAGCATGTAAAAAGACCTTCTTCTGGGGGGTGTATGTGAGTGGACAAAACCAACACAATCTTTGAAGAATGAATTACATCTTATCCCAGTTTTGTTCTTCAGATGTTGGCCATTTTATGAATTTTTCTTGAAACTTCACTAATGCCCAGATAACAATCTGTCTAGTTGTCCAAACTTCCCTCCAACAGATCAATCAGAAGCTGACCAACTGAGACCAAGATAAAGGGAGCATACCTACGGTCCATTGATAAAAGTTTTGCAATGATCAAACTTTGTCTACCATTTCCAGAAAGGTCAATGTTAGCCATTGAAAATAAGAGATGCCATTGAACTGTAGCTAGACAACAGTTCAAGTTTTTGTAGAAAAGAGGATCTCCAGAGATCTCATGTAAAACAGACATAAAATTCTCTTTGGACATTGGGGCCCATTGGAGTAGAACATACAAACACACAATCTCAGTAAATCAGGACCTGAACCAAGAACACAGATGTTACTTACCACAATACCCCATGTCCAATCACTTTTGTGAACCATCAATCAAAGCACTCTTGCTTTTTACTTTGGCGTGAAAGACATCCAATTTGAGGGACCAAATGGTGTTTTGTGCCACAACAGTCTATCTCATAAGTGTAGGATTTTACTTTTGACTGTAGACAAATACCTTTTAAAAGGTAACAGAAATACTTCAGCTACGTGTTGACGAGACACGGCTGACAGACTAAGATGGACGACTGGAAAGACTCAACAGACCTTTTAAAAGGTAACAGAAATACTTCAGCTACGTGTTGACGAGACACGGCTGACAGACTAAGATGGACGACTGGAAAGACTCAACAGACCTGAACGAAGAAGATAATAAAAACTTTAGAATCAATTTCTTTGATCAGATGAAGCAATCACAAACACAATAACAAACCTTTTAAAAGGTAACAGAAATACTTCAGCTACGTGTTGACGAGACACGGCTGACAGACTAAGATGGACGACTGGAAAGACTCAACAGACCTGAACGAAGAAGATAATAAAAACTAACAAGTTGAATCAAAAGAGAAAGAACAATATTTGTATGATAGAGAATTTTAATCAGTGTATTGATAGGAAAAAGAAAAGAAAAGAAAACCTCACCTTTAGAATCAATTTCTTCGATAAGGAAAAAGATTCTACAGTGAGATTCCTTTTTAAGCATTGCCTTTACAAGCATATTTTTTATTAAGCATACAAAATGGTGCAACCATTTTTGGTAGGCGGTAAATTCAGATTTATAAGCATTTTAAGCATATGCTCCAGGTTTTGACTGATATGCTTGTAAAATTTCATGTGAAGCATGAAAAAAGAAGCATATCATAATTTATACATGTGGTTATGCTTCTATGTGATGTGAGAAAGGAAGGCAAAGTGGAGTGGAGTGGAGTACAGTTTATCCTGAATCGACTCAAAAAGCCAAGACCAATTGAAAAAATGCCTGTCCATTTTTGCTGCCAAGTTTCTTTAGTACATATTATTCAATAGGTGCATCATTTTGGAGCATTATTGGCTCTCATACCTGACCCAGTTTCAAAAAACCACCATGTCCGTCCCCCATGAGCACTTCAACGTGCTCACACGGAGAGTTGTGT